TCCCATATGACCTGGGTGAAGGTAGAGCCGGAGTCTCCTTCTAGGGCGCCACACACACAGACCCCTAGGTTGGCCCTGTGAGTGGCTGGAGCTGACTCCACCACTGTGTGAGCCTTTACTCCAGGCCAGGCACTAGTGAGTATTCTGCGTGTAGCAGCTCATTTATTCTGTAAAGTAGGTGCTACCACAACCCTCATTGTGCTGGTGGAGTAGGGAGGCACAGACAGCCGTGACACTTTCCCGAGACACTGAGTGACTTACCCGAGACACACTCCAGGCTGTTTCCAAATTTACTGGTTTTTGCTACTCTGATATATCTATCATTATCAGTAAGTCAGCCAACTATCAATCTTTCTCTCTTTTTCTTCCTTTTTTCTGTCCCTCTCTCCATCTCTCCTCTCGTCATTTCCCTTTCTGCCTCTTTCCAGAGGACAGTCCTTCAGCTTCTAAATCTTTCTCCTTCATCCACTGACAAGCACTCAAGTGCTTAGAATTTTTTGTTTGTTTGTTGAGACAGAGTCTCACTATGTAGTTGAGACTAACCTGGCAATCACTATGTAGCCCAGGCTGGTCTCAGACTCACAGCGATCCTCCTGCCTCCCGAGTCCTAGGATTACAGGCGTGCACCACCACACCCAGCCAGGTGCTCAGAATTTAGACCACTAGGTATTCAATTTCAAGCATTAACAAGGTCTTTTGGAAAAAGATAGACTATCCCAGGTAGCCATAATATGCTAAATGTTGTCATTCACAATGGTGTAAATGACTACAACTGGCTCTTTGTCTTGTCTTGGCTGTTCAAGTTCCTGGTCCCGAGTAAAACATCGTTAATAATAGGTGTGTGGGAAGAACAAATATGGAGGCTGAGGAAAGCCTTAAAAAAGAGAAATCTTGGCATCTATAGGTGATAACCAAGGCCCCAGACTGACATAGGGTAGGGCTGCAGGGAGATGGAAAGGTAACCAAGTGAGATTACATACATTTCTAAATCCGGAACCTCTCATGGACTAACTCAAATAAAACAAGCATGAGAGGCTGGTCCAGGAAAAACTGGACAAAACTATTCAGCATAAAGGGCTCCAATCTGCCAGTTACATTCTCCCCTCCCTCTCCCATTACAGGGTTGAGGAAGCCCCAGAGATGCTACATATTCCATCAATGGTCATTACTGCCAATAGGTCGCAGAGTCGGGATTGTAACTCTGTCTGAGTCAGGGTCAGGTCCCACAGACACTGTCTCCATCCAAAGAAGTACAGAGAACATGAAGGCAGAAAAGGATAAGGAGCCCATTCAGTAAGCAAGATTGGATAATGTGTATTGATTATAATCTGCTTCTTCACCTTTAGGAAGTTTTTATTGAGCACTTGCTGCATGTAGAACTCTGAGTCAAGGAGACTGGGCTCTTCCTGTCCCTCCAATGGGAGGGCTTCCTACCTCACTGTCTTCAGGAAAACCCTTGTCCTGCGCAGGGTTTCTCATAGTCCCTTCCACACACAGATGCTCCACTCATCCCTAAAGACTTTCCAGACTGGACATCCAACAGGACATCCAACTTCTTAGACTATAAGAATTTGAAGGCCTTAGCTAAGTCCCCTCTGAATCCCTAGGGATTCAGTTCAAGGTGTCGATAAAGACTGTTGGGCTGAATTGACTGTTTAATCCACCTGGCTGGTCCCCCTAGTCACCGGTTACCTTGTAGCAGACTGCTGGTTTTCCCTTTAATCAGTTCTCCCTTTCTTTCTTAGTATCAGGGTGTTCGCTGGACAGCACACCCACCCCAGGCCCCACAGTTACGTGTAGCTAGTCATGTCAACTGTGTTCACACAAAAAGATTGGGTCTTCTGGATCTAGCTCCACCATTCTTTCTCTTTCTGAGGGCAGAAAAATAGATCTGGCAATGACGCAGCTTTGACAGTTCAACAGAGAACATCCTGGAGGATGGTAATGCAGCAAAATAGAAATAATCTGGATTACTGAATGACTTTATGGAGTGTAGTTCCTTAGCTGCTCTGAACCTCCTTCAGTCTCTGAATATTACATGATAAGAAATCTATTTTCTTCTTATTTGAGTCATTGTATTTTGGGGTCTCTTCGTTATGGCTGTTTAGCTTATTTCCTAACACATATTCTTATAAATTGTTTTATAATTGATTGCTCTTTAACAAAGATATGATGGTACAATGAAAAAAACGTTCGTCTTGTCTTTTCCACAGTGCCTGCACTCGTAAGGTCCCATGCATCTTGCTCAAGGTGCCACATTTTTTCTTCACATTCTTCCAGAGTGCTAAGCCCTTTGAAAGAGTATTCAGTTTTCTCAGCACAATTACCTTGTGAGGTAGCCACCGTTACTTGCCCTCAGTCTACAACTGAGAGATTGAGTTCTAAACAGTGTGTGTGAGTTCTCAAAGAAGTAGGTAGCAGCGAGAACACTTGAAATTCTTATCTGTCTGACTTCAGCGCTCACCTTTGTGGCCACGGCCTAGAGCCACCTCCGTGTACCATAGGAGGGCTTCGCTTTTCTGCCGACTCCACAAGAGTATTTTTGTAATTATTTCCAGTGCTCTAGTCCAGTTATATTTCTTAATAAAATAGCAACTGGCTAAGCACAAGAATCCTTATTTCTCTCTAGCTCAGTGGTGGCACTGCCTGCCTTGCAAGTGCAAGGTCCAGAGTTCAATCCCCAGTACCAAAAAAAAAAATTTTTTTTTCTCAAGAAAAATGATTTAATTGCTGCCTGACTTCCTTCTGAAAGTTAGGGTGTTCTGTCATCCATTCTAGAATCGGTGGTGCACCTCCCACACTCCAAACTCTCATTTGTCTGTTTTATTCACTGACTTCTAGAGAAGAAAGGCAGTTCACGGCAGTCGGCAGAGAATAGCTCTGTGCATGAGAACAAGTAGAGAGGGAATAGTCACAAGATAATGTGAAAGTGACTTTTAGAAATAGAAGCTGTGGGAGGATGTGTAACTTTGGTTATTTTGTTGGGTGGTTCTTCCGCACTCCACACACAAACCAGTACATCATTTGACTGCTGTAATCTGACCACGCAGTCTGGCAGTTGAGGTCACGGGACGAGGATTATTCAAGACTAAGTTTCCAACCCATCAATCCAACATTTATTGAGCACTTCTTATGGACAAAGGGCTCTGTTTTTAATTTTGCCTGGATATTCAGAAGACCCACGTAAACAATGCAAAATAAATGAGCAGTAAGAGAAAGGACAAGCATAGTCACAAGGCAAATAAGCAAACGGTACAGGCAGTAACCTTCACAGCCCAGATGAAAAGAAGACTCCCTTATACCTTGGACTTGTCTCAGCTGCTTGGCGGGCTTGGGTTGGTACAGAAGGAGAGCGGTGATATTTTCTATGAAGAAATGGAGAGCACACAGAATGCACGGCAGTGGGAAAGGTTCAGAGAGCACACGGTGGGGAAGGTGCCCAGAGGAAGCACCCACACCGTGGAAAACTAAGATGAATAGAAAGCTGGGAAGGAGGGGTAACCCAGATCGAGCATCTTTAGCTGTGCAGAGATTTCTCCATCTCCCAATTGCTCAGTCCATGAGTGAACCGAGGACAGTGGTGATAAACCTCTGGCCTGCCTGCCACAGTGGGGCTGCCAGCACACAAGCCAAGCTGCCCCAGGGGCTGAGCTCTGCGAAACAGTTGTTCCTCTCTAAACTAAACCCTCAGTATTCAGGTTTAGCCGTGTTGGCACTTTGGGATGAAGAAGTGGTTTGGGGTTGCAGTTTGTCTCTAAAAGTTTTGCTATCACTGCCCTAGGAGATCCTGAGGTTTGTTTTGTTTTATTTTGTGTTGTTTTTGCAGTGCCGGGGATTGAACTAGGGATTTTGCCCTGAACTATATACTCATCCCCCCCCCACACGTTTTGAGACAGAATCTCACTAAGTCACTAAATTCCCTGGTCAGGACTTGAGCTTGCAATCTTCCTGCCTCAAATTCCCTCAGATGTGTGCTACTGTGCTCAGGTAAGGAGACCCTGAGTTCTGACCCAGACCCCACAGACCCTTCCCACAGTTACTATTTGCCAGCCATGTTGGTTCTCATGGAGAAAGTGGCCATTTCCCTCCATTCTTAACTTCTCACAGCATGGAGGCTTCCAGAGAAATAGTCTTTCTGCCCTTGCACTGCTCTACCCCGCCGGAAAAATACAGACATTATCACTGGCCCAAAGGCTGGACTAGCGTTGTTTCCAAATGCCTCTTAGGCGGAGTCCTATTTCCCTGCAGAAGTCCTTATATAAGCGTCCTTCTAGAAAATCACATTTCATCCAAATGTGGCTTCCACTTAACCAGGCAGGAAATTCCATATAATCAAGGACAGTTGAGAAAACAATTTCAGGAAAAAATAAAGCTCCCTCAGACTGGTAATATTTAAACCTCCAAGGCTTTAGCCTGATTTAGTCACAGTTCATTATTTTATGAAGTAGCAAGTCTTAACTGTGATTTTTTAGAAAAAGAGAGATTGATAATGTTGAAGGGCCAACATGCCTAAATATTATTTTCCTAAAGTTAGTCCTGAAATTGGTGTATGTTTAGTGTCTTTATTGCGATTAAGGTCCTTAGCATGCTTCCTCTCTTCATTTCCTTGCATCTTATTATAATAATTTACTTCGAAAGAAGTTGGGCTAACTTTGGCGCTGGAATTGGGTAGTTAAGTGTGACTAGGAGGGGAAGCGGATAGAGGGAAGGCATTGCAGAGCAGCTGCTGCCTCTGAAAAAAATGTCAGACTAGAATTTCTTTTTTTCCAGAAGAAAATACAGGAAATTTAGTCCCTTCAGGATAATCAGAGTCTGGTCTGTGGATTAGCAGCAACTCATGAAAAAAACTTATTTTTCTTTTGGGATGAGCCAGGTATCTCTGATGTCTCAGCTCACACCACATCTGTCCGCAGCAACAATTTTCATAACACACCCTGATATTTGCTTTGCCTTCTTTCCTGTCTTACTTTCCTAAACTTTCCACTTCTGTCCCCTGATGCCTACATACCACATAGGTCTTTTTCACAGGCTCTGTCTTGCATAACTAGGACAAAGGGAAAAATATAAAAATATAATAACACGATAGTGAGTTTTCTATAAAATCAAATTTAATCAGTACTAGAGGCCACACTTTAGTCCGAGACTGTATCTTTTCTTGTTAGGGTAGACAGGATGATGGTTCCTCCCTAAGATGTCCATGTCCGAAAGCCTGGAGACCGCGCCCACTTTACATGGCAAAAGAGTTTTGCAGGCATTGTGCTAAGGAGATGAGCCAATTATCCTAAATTATTCCAGGATTGGAAGAGCAGGACACAATTACGAGGGTGCCTAGAAAGCACTGGAGGAGGGCAGAGACAGGAAAAGATGACATAAGCAGAGGGCTGAGTAATGTGATTGCTCACTTTGGAGACGGAGTAAGGGGTCCCAAGCCAAGGACTGTAGGTGGCTTCTAGAAGCTGGAAAAGGCAAGAAAATGGAACACCGTCCTAGAACTCGTACAATCCCTGTGGCACCTTGATTCGAGCCCGGTGAAATCTATTCAAATCTCAAACTCCAGAGGTATAAGCTGATAAATTTGTGTTGTCATAAATCACTCAGGTTGTGGTAATTTGATACAAGAGCAATAGGAAATCTATGCGTTTGGCGGTAGAATTACTGTCTGTTATGAAATGATCTTGATTCTAGATGAAGCTCAGCCTGAAGGGTTCCTTGGCAGGAATGCTCAAGCATCTCTCTTGCTTATAGTTGGAAAATAAATGTTCTTATTGGCAAAAAAAAGAAGTTGTTATTCTCCCCATATTGCTTGAAATTTTGATGATGTATGAAATTCAAAAGAATGGGATCTACTTCCAAAAGCACCTAGCATAGTCAGTCAAGGCTCTGAAGAGCTTTGCTAGAGGCTAACTTTCTTGGAAATACCCCATAACTGTTTGATTGGCAGAAAAGTCAGCAAAATAATATTCATCCTACTCACTTTTGGCACTCTCCATGAGTCAGCACGCTTAGCTATTGTGGATAGTTTCAGTTCTCCAGGTCCATTTTCCTATGCTTCAGCTCTCTGCTCTGAGGCCTGGGATGCTGACTTTAATGGAAGACATGGGTGGATTCCTTTGTTCTCTGACTTCCTGCCATGTTCAGCCAACCAGAGGCTCCACCAGGAGTTTGGAGGGTGGGAGGAGAGTGAGATTGAGGCATCATTCATCCGGATTCCCTTTTCTGATAGATGCAGCTCCTAAATGGCACTGTCCATACAGCTGTCTTCTGGTCCCAGTACCCCTCCAAACAGTTATTATTGTTTCCTTAGTAGTGAAGTCCCAGTAGCCTGTGCTATCTTTTATACTTTCTTTAAATTCTGATCACACCTTTGTAGACAGTTTACTACATTTTCCTGGGAGCTAGGAAGTGGGGTCAGCACTTACCTTGTAGCTTAAGAATGGCTGAAGTGAGTTCCTTCACATCTGCATTTCAGAACACACAGCTGAAGTTCCTGCCAGGCTGAGGCTTTGGGTGCAGAACACCGGTGATCTGGTAGAGGCCTTCAGGGCTCCTGGTACAGCTGGTGTTCGCAGGAGCACTGACATTTTGCCAGGACCTTCTACCAGGGATAACCTTCAGCCTGGCAGGGCAGCTCCAGCTCATCTGTCCCTGGAACCTTCAGGGTGCCAGTGCCAATTTTCTTGTAGGAGCCTGGAAAATAGAGAAAGAAAAATAAATGTCTTTCCTTTCTGATTCTGTAGAGTTCTGCACCCAAATGAATAAAATTACCACTTCATGTTAAATAATGTTTCCACTTTTAAAATATTTTCTATGTCCCAGATATCATAGTATTTTATACACAGCGAATGATTTAAATCTTATAATACAACAAAGATACCATTGTTGGTTTTCCCAATTTGGGGGGTTAACGAAAGAGAGGGAGGTTGAGTGCTTTGTTCAGTCAGAAGGATAATAATTAGGTATCGACTAAGCAACTACACTCTTTGGCTACTTACACTATTGTAAATCATCTCACCAGTGGGGAATGGAGAGTGTCCAGGAGGTGGATAAACAAAATCACTAGAAAACCCCCATCTCTCTCTTTATGCAATGCTTTTCAGACATCTTTAGTCGAAAATTTGATCTCCAGTTTCTCCTGTTTTTTTTTTTCTTTCTTTTTTTTTTTTGAGATTTGTAGAAAAATAAGGACTGAGGTAATGTTTATAAATAGTCAGGAGTTGGGTATATTTATTATGTGTTTCCTTAACACACACACACACACACACACACACACACACACACACACACACTTCTGTGCTGTGTATGCTGAGTGAATTAAACATAGGTAGGATTCCCTACCTTGAAGAAAACTGAAATTTACAATAGAGAAGCTTAATAGAAAACCATGAGGATGAACTGTTTAACAATTTTAGTTCACACCTAAAAATAAACGAATATTAACACCATTGTACACATGAGGGAGTATGGAAAATAAACTGTTGATATTTAATGAGAGGAAGAGGGAATGGCCACCACCTTTTATTAGGTGGAAAATATTTCAAGAAATAGAATTTTATGTGATATGTATGTATAGCAAACTCCCAAGCTGCATGTAAACACTCTGTATCACAAACATGTGCTAATAAAAAAAAGAAATGTCTTTGAGTCTTTGAGGTCACAGTAAACTTAAAGTAAAAAGCACGGGTGTGATGAAACTTTTTTTTCTTAAATTGTTAGGAGTATACATGGCCACAAATTTTTTCCCCATTAAGTTTATCGGTACATTTAAAGCAAATAATACAGTTACATTCATCATTGGGATCTTGTACCTTTACACGATATGTCTTGGTTCTCGTTTCTTCCCATACCCCTGCCCTCCCTTCACCCCCTTTCACCCTTCCCTGGTTACAAAGACTTTGTTTCCATTTTTTCCTTTTTTAACATTTTTTTCTTTTCCCTTATTTCCTTTCCCCTTCCCTTCCCACTTCCCCTTTAGACATTTTCTTCCTATTTCACTCTATGAATTCTACCATTTGAACCTATTTATACTTTTAGTTTTTCACACCAGAGAAACTATTTGGTAGTTACTCAAGTGTGTCCTATTTATTTCACGTGAGTATAGCCTCAGTGTCCATCCATTTAGCTATAAATGTCTCTAGTTTCTCATTCTTTAGTGCTGAGTAGTTCTGCATTTTATAGAAAAACCACATCTTCTTTATCCAGTCTCCAGCTGATAGGCATTTGGGTTGTTTCCAAGTTTTAGCTATTACAGACTGAATGGGCACAAATTTTGTAGATGGTGATTTTTTTATTAAAGTAACAACTGTAAGGAAAACATTAAATATGTACGATTTACTTAATCTTTTCTATGTGTTGGATTTTGTTCCACACCCTTTCACGTACTGTAGGGGAGGAAGGACTGTTCACACCCACCTTCCTATTGTGTATCTCTGTATAACAACTTGCTATTTTCATTAGTCATAGCAAAGATGCCCGTGGAACTAGAGTTCCTAGCTACGGTCCAAAGCACTGATCCTAGCTAAACCTTCTCTTGAGGTTTGTCTCCTGTACTGAGCATACCTAGCTGGGCCTGCTCAGTGCCTCACAAAGCGCTGGCATCTTCCCAGCTCATAGTATTCTGGATTCTGCCTGTGCCTGCATGGGTGGGGCAGATCTGTTTGGTTTTGTTGTGCTGGGCATTAATTCCTGGCACACGCTAAGCAAGCACTCTACCACTGAACTACACCCTCCCACCCTGGGACAGATGCTCTTACCCATGATGCAGGTCTGATCTGCAAATCTGAACTCTTAGATTAAGATGAGGGAGAAATAAACTAGAGATTTCCCATGGTAGCTTTATTTTTTGGTAGCAGGGATCGAACTCAGGATCTTGTGCTTGCAAGGCAGGTGCAGTGCTACTGAGCTAAATCCCTAGCTCCAGGTCTCCCATTCTAAATCATGCTCTGCAGTTTAAACTGTCAGAGAAGCCATAAAAGGTATGTGTGTGGGAGGGAGTCATGTGCCATTCAGCTATCAATTTACTGCATGGAGTTCATTTCCCATTTGGCTGTGGATTCTTGCGTGTATTACTCATTTAGTCAGGAACTTAGAGAGGAGCAGTTAAGTGGCTCCAATATCTAGTCCCAGTTAAATGATACATTTAAAAGATACAAGGACCCCATATGTAGGCCAACATTTATATTCTTATTTTGTAAATAGGGAAATAGCAGGAATCTAGGGTGGGTGGGGAATTTGAACTCATACCCTTCACATCTATAGCACTCTGCACTGGAAGCCCCATAAGGGGATGATTCTTTATGTAATTAGGGGAGTCTAGATGATGGAGCAAAATGAACAGAGAGAGGGAGCTAGTCACACTCGGAACTAGTAGAACACTAGAATTGGGCTCTGAAATGGTAAACTGAAGGACTTGGCCTAGTTGAACTCACCAGTCTCACTGGAGCCAAAATTGAGCCCATCTTCAGCTCAGACAGTATTGGAAGAGCGCATTTTGAGAGTTCATTTTCCCTCTTATGTTATTTATCTACACTTTTTAGCTACACTTGTTTACATCTTCTTGTAATCATTTAATCTTATGTTTACATTATTTTTGTAAACACTTGAGTCTTTTAGGAATAACATTACAAACATGGATTCGCTGGGTCAGAGTGTTGTGGGTGACGGTTTGGCCAACTCAGGATGAGTAGCTGATCTTGATGGCTGAGCTGAGAGGTGATTTCAGAGAGAAGAACCAGAAACCAGGAGGCTGGCTGAGGCTCTGACTTGGGATGTATAAACGAAGGGCCAATGGGAAGATGTTTAGCTAAAAAAATAAAAAAAGCAACATTTGGAGAAGGGACCGGAGCCCATACTCTACATTTTTACAATTCCAAAAATGTTGCCACAGCCTCTTTCTCACCTGGAAAGTACATGAAGAGGTATTATGCCAACAACATGCAGTGGGGAAGCTGGGCCATGGGTGATATTCTTCAGAAAAGATGAGTAAATTTTAGAATTTCAGAGATGGAAGTAATCTTAAATTCAAGCTTTCCAACTTCCCACTTAATAAGATGCACTCTTTTCAGCAACTCTGCTAGAATATGATTTCGATGAATTTCCACATAGACCTAAAAATAATGTGTATTCTGCAGTTGTTGGCTTTAAGTTCTATGCATATAAATGATATCATGATAGCCAATTGTGTTGTTCACATTTGCAAATGTATTTTATTTGCTTGTTCTATCATTTACAACAGAGGTGAGATGAAAATCAGAAACAATTGTAGATTTATCTATTCTCTTTTCCAGTCTGCCAGTTTTTAATATTTTGAAGCTATGTTGTTGGACGCATGTGCATACACATTTACAGCTGTTGTGTATCCTTGTATAACTATTTCATCATTATGTAATGTTGCTTTTTATCTTGAGTAGTATTGACTTTTCTGATACTACTAAACAACTAGACAGCTAACTTTTGGTTAAATATACCTATGAGTATAAGCTCTGGCTTCCTTCAGAAGCAACCTTTGCCACGATTAAATGATTAAACTTGGGGAAGGATAATCTTCAGCTCATCGGTACGTGTCTGGTTTAGTAAAATAACATATGGTAAGCACAGTAGTGAGGAATAAGGTCTTCAAAATCTGAAAGATTTGACTATGTTAGCCAAGGACTAATTACCTGATCTCTCAAATCCTCAGTTTTCTCATGAATAAAATGGGTACAATATTATTTGTCTTGAAGGGTGCTAGTATGATTACATAGATATCTAGAAATAGTGAATAGTCAGTCAGTGTTGGCAATTAACTCTTCCATCTTAGAGGCAACTCTTCAGGTACTTGAAGATATCTGGAAAAACTCCATATGTTCTTTTCTATTTTAAGTAAAACACGCCTACTTCTTATCTCATAGGATATTGTTTTCAGGCCCATTTCCAGACATCAATCTTCAGATACATTTTATTTTTAATTTTCTAAAAAAGAGACAATGTAACATGACTTCTAGTCCAGTTATTAATTAAGCAGCAAAGGTATAACTATTACTTCCTATGAGTTGAACAAATTTTGGGCTCAACACAGGGCAGTAATGTAATCTAAGGTCAAGAGGAACTTTGGCCAAATGCATGATTTGCTCTCAGTCAGATAGGTGAAACCTGGCTTTTCAAAAGCCACAGCCCTTTATTTCTGTCTCTTCCATATTCTCCAGCCATCCTGTCTTGTATTCTTTTTTATCCTTTTGAAGTAAACTCTCATCACAATGTTTAATATGAATTACTACATGGATATCAAAGAAACTACTATAAACCTACTTTCCAGGTTTGTGCAATAGATTTTAAAGTAAAAGCATTCTGTTCTGCTAATACTATTTCATTTATAGGAACCCTCCCTGGGACTCTAGATCTACTCTGCCTCCCGTAGGGGGCACCTATGAATCTCTTAGATGCTGGTCTTCAATTTTTTTCTTACATTTCCCCTAAAGGAATGATGATCCAGTACACTCTCTCTTATATATTAAGGTAATTGCTAGAATTTTTCATATATTTCTATATTGGAAATTACATCATGTTTAGGGTTTTATAAATATTTATATTTTTTAGTAAAAATTATTTCACTCTTACATATGTATCCAATGGCATCTAAATATCAAAGAAACTGTCTTTTATATATTCCATTATTCACCAAAAAATACATACAAAAATTTCTCTCAAATGGTCAGAGCTTTACCTGGTATCTTTTTAGTTTTTGAACCTCACTTTCCCTACAGAAGTTTATCTTAATGCTACACATGTTTATTTTACAGGTCTTTATTATTTTTATATGCCTTGTGACAAAATATGTAGAGCTAATGAAATTAATTTTCTAATGACCAAAACTTTATATTCAGTTTTCTCTACTGAGATCTAATTTATATCAATATCAGCACCTACATAACTATAATGTAAAATATTATGAATATTCATAATTACTAAGCATGAAAGAAAAAATTTACCAGAAATATTGCTTTTTCTTTTTAATTGCTCATGAATGTGATGATGTATAGGACTTATAGTTAGAATGATTCTATGTGGGAGGAGATTCAAAATGGTAGAGCAAGAACAAACTGAAAAAGACAGCCTCTTTGAAACCTGAATCAAAACACTTGGAAAACAATCTAGCAAAGAAAAAAGAAGTAGAGCTCTGGGAATCAAGAAAGAGCTGGTAGGAAAACTAGAAACTACAGAGAGACTGAAAACAATGCAAAGAACAAAACAAAGCAGACTGGAACACTAACCTCTGGCTTCCAGGGAGGAAGTTCTATCTCCACCAACACAAGTTCTGGGGCATCAAACCTTGAGAAAGTTGGACACTAGAAGACACCCAGATATTCAGCTGATTATGTTGAAAATGGGTACAAACACCAAGATATAATCAAACCCATGGACGTGTCACAGGGAAACAAACCTAACTAGAGATCTCCACAGTAGCAACAGTTTCTCTGCCTTGACTGATCTTCAACTCAGAGCATAAAAACAATAGAAACATGAGAAAGCAAGGCAAGAAGTGCCTTCCAAGACCCCTAGCTCCCAAAACTCTGATCTCATGGACACTGAAGTAGAGGACACTACAGGCAAAGAACTCAAAACAACATGGTCAAAACATTTGAAGAGATTAAAGAAGAAAAATATCAGCAAACGCATAAGATGTTTAATGAGCTCACAGAATTTAATCAAAAAGATAAAGGATTTTACTAATAAGATGTTCAATGAGTGCAAAGGGAAAAAAAACAATGAAATAACTGACAGTCAAATAACTACAAGATATGAATGACCACTTTGAAAAAGAATTAGAAAGTATGAAAAGAAAGCAAGCAGAAACAAATGGTTTTACAATAGTAAATGAAAAAGATGGACAGCAAACCTGACCAGTATGAAGCAAAGTATCAGAAATAGAAGACAACATGGATGTAATAATTCATAAACTCAGTGATACCCTAAAAACAAAAAGGCACTATGCAAGCTGGGTCCAACTGCTGCCAGATGACAAAAATAAACAAAAGAAAGCCCCTCAGAATTACAGGAATAAAGGAAAACGTAGAAGACAACTAAAAAGGTACTTAAAAATTTATTCACTTAACTTATAGTAGATAATGTTCTAAATGTTTGGAAAGAATTCAATATTCAAGTACAAGAGGCACATATTACTTAAGATAGACAGTAACAGAAAAGAACTCCTCCATGGTACATCATAATCAAAATTCCAGAAATTCAGCAAAAGGCAGAAAAACTCCAGCAAATAACCTATAAAGTCAAGTCCATCAAAATAACTGTGGATTTCTCACACCTTAAGGCCAGGAGAGACTGGAGTGAAGATTTTTAAGTCCTACATGAAAACAATTATCAACTCAAACTTTTATATTCTGAAAAAATTTGCCTTCAAAATTGACAGATAAGAAAAGACTTTCCACAACAAGGAAATCCTAAAGAAGTACATGACCACTAAACCAGCACTCCAGAAAATACTTAAGAGAATCCTAGACAGACACTGGGAGGCCACCCACACAAAAGAATTCAAAGGAAACCACATATCTGAGAGAGTAGTTACACAAAAGGGAAAAAAATGAATAAGCATTGGAAAAATAATGCAATGACAGGATTCAATAAACACCTTATAATAATAATCACCAGGGCTGGGGATTTAGCTCGGTGGCACCACACATGCCTCCCAAGCGCAAGGTCATGAGTTTGATCCTAGGTACCTCCTCAAAACAAAACCAAAAACCAAAAAAGTAATTCTCAATGTCAGTGGTTTCAACTCACCAATGAAAAGACACAGACTGGCAGATGTATCAAAAAACAAAATGCAACCACATATTTCTTACAAAAGATACATCTCATCTAAAAGGTAGTACTATACGAAATGTGAAAGTGTGGAAAATAATACTTCATTGAACTAAGTATCCAAAACAAGCAGGGTTAGCTATCTTATTTTCAGACACAGCTGACTTCAAGCCAGAACTGATCAAAAGAGACAAAGATAGCAGCTATATTCTGGTATAGGGAACAATTTCTGTACCTATTCTGGTATAGGGAACAGGAAGAGTTAACAAGCTTAAATATCTATGCAATGAATGTTGGCATACCTCATTTCATAAACTACTGGACTTAGAAGACAGATGGACACCAATATAATCATAGGGAATTGTAACCACTCATTCTCACAATGAGATGGTCAACACCACGCACCCCACCAAAAAAAATCAAGGAAGAAACATCAGAGTCAAATTACACCACTGAACAAATTGACTTAACAGATATCTACAGTGTTTCAATAAATGACAACAAAATACACATTTTAATCCATTGTACAAGTAACTTCTCAAAATAGGCCATGTCTGAGGCCATAAAGCATGCTTAAACATGAAAAATTGAAATAATCCCAGCATATTATCAGATCATAGCATAATGAAGCTAGAAATCAACATCCAAAGAAGCCACAGAAACTATGCAAAAACAAGGAGATTGAATGATGTTATTGGATAGTCAATGAATCACAGAAGAAGTCAGGGAAGAAAAGAGTTCCTGGAATCAAATAACAATGGAATCACAACACACTTATGAGACACAATGAAAGCCATTCTAAGAGGAAGAGTATTAACTATAAATGCACACATAAAAAGAGCAATTACAAATAAATAACAGTGATATATCTCAAGGTTCTAGAAAGACAAGAACAATCCAAATCTGAAACTCATAGAAGGAAGAAATTACAGACATCAGAGCAAAAATTAATGAAACTCAGACTAGAAATAAAAAAAAAAAAAAGAACAAACACACAAGGAATCAATGCGTCCAAGATTTGGTTCTTTGAAAGAATGGGAAGGACTGCAAGGATGGGGGAGACAGGAGGAAGGAAAGGGGGAAGTAAAACGGATCAAGATGCACTACGTACATGTACCAACTCCCCACGATGAAGGTATGTGTGGATTATGTACTGCAAAAATAGATGAATGAAAGTCGAGAGAAAAACACCATGTTTTATGTGGGTAGAATTCTGCATCAGTTCTATTTGTTTTTCATTTTCTGTAGCCATAAGGGCTAAGGAATCTTACTCTTATAATTGGGTGGGAACTAGAAACAATTTTGTTAGAGCTGTGTTTATCATTCTTTGAATGACATGACTTATATGGCATAAGTAACTTATTTTGGATTATCAGTTAACTCTACTTGAGCTTCCTTTAAATATTTTTGAAAGCAGAGAATTTGATACCACCTGTTTCGTAAAATAGTCATAATTGTTCCAGTGTCAGTGTCTCGAGTCCTCTTTTGTTTGGTACTATGGAGATCTAAACCCTGGGTAAGTGGATTTAATTCACAATGAGGGATGGGTTGGCCTTTTTATGAAATAGAAGAAAGTAATAGTAAAAGAGGAAGTACTTTAGGGGAACTCCAAGAGCTTTGCCTGGCAGGCATATTCTCAGGTTCATCAGTTTTTGGAAAGAGTACTGTCCTTGGGGAAGATGAGGATCTAGAAACCATTTCTTAATACAGTGGTATCTTGGTTCGCAGACTTAATTTGTTTTACAATTTTGGGGATCTGGTTGTGTTTGTGCAGGAAAGATGGCCACAGTTGTGTTTGTCACCTGATGTGGAGTCCGTGAATGGGAGCAATTCTGTTCAACTCTTCTGAGAACCAAATTGTTTATGAAAAGAAGCGTTCGTGAACTTAGGTGCTACTATACTGCTTTGCAAGTGTGTTCATCTCTTAGAAAGCCCTTGTAATCCCCAACATGCCCCAGTGTGATGATACTGCTTTAAGGAACAAATCTTTCCACATCTGAAGACTCTCTGGTTTAACTGAAGCAAAATGCAGGGTACCTTTCCAGGAATGAGAGGCAGCCCACCATCAGAAAGGGACAGCTCCTCCCACAGCTCCCCAAGGACCCTAGATCAGTATCAGCAGACCTTTCAGAGCTTTCAACGTTAACAAACAGCCTGCTGGGGCACACGTGCCTTAGGTCACCATCCCCGCCCTAGATACACTATAGAACCCAAGTAAGAATTTTCAAGCATGGGGGTGGTGATTTAAAGGTGTAGATATCCTAGTGTATTACAGGATCCTCGAAACGTACAGGCTTCTTTCCTCATGTTCAATGAATTTCGATTAATGCCCATGTTATAAGGTTTCTTTCTGCCGATGTCAGGATGTAGGAAATAGAGTGGTTTTCCTGCTGACTCACTGATGGTTGAACTGTGGGAGAGCTTCTGTCCCCATAATAACGAGGGTCTTTTAACTAAATCTATGGATCTTTTCTCTATGCCAGGCACTAGGCTCAATTCTTATTGTTTATACACTAGTACCTTGGTTCACGAACTTGTTTTATGATTTGGGGGAAGATGGCTGTATTTGTGTGTGTGTGATCTGATATGGAGTTTGTGAACAGAAGCAAAATGTTGTCCAATGCTTTTTTTTGGGGGGGGATCAAACTCAGGCCCTTGTGCTTGCAAGGCAGGTGGCAGAACCACTGAGCCAAATCCCCAGCCCTGTCCAATGTTTTTGAGAACATAATTGCTTGCGAATACAAGAATACAAGTGTTCCTGATCCAAGGAACTGAACTTTTTAAATGTTTATGACATTTAGTAGGAGCAACTACTGTCCTTCTTTTACTAAGCAAAACATGAGGTTATGAAAAGTGAAACCACCAAGGACACAAGTGAAATCAACCTTGTACCTATTCCTTCCTATGTGTTTGTCTCTGTAGCAGATCACAGTCCCACCACTGACGCCAAGGTCAGTGGTCTCTGGGGTCAAAACACGCAAATCCTCCAGATGACAAAGCAGATCCTCTGATGTCTCAGGAGTGTGGTGGGGAGGAGTCAGGAGTTGCTAGTTCAGTTTAACTCAAGAGAAACTACAAGCTAATCAGTGAGCTTTCTATTTTTTCATAACTCTAACATGTCCTGCCCAAAGTGACCTTTATCAAAACAAACAAGAACAGGAGGATTCTCTTGATATTTATGTTCTTGAGGCTGTCCGGGGTTGGGGAGAGACCTGAACCCAGGGAAATGGGGACAGTTACTCCTTAATCAGACTCTCTTGTGCCCCCCAGTTCACTTCTCTGGACCATTGTTTTGTCTGCAAAAGATGGAACTTACACCTGAGTAGTGTGTTTGAAATCTTTAACTTTTTATGACCCAAAGTAAGAAATGAAAAACAAAAACCAAGAATCCCTTACTCCATTGTGTGTACAATCATGCCCACACATATGCACACATACACGCACGCACACACAAACCTGAAAAAAGAGTTTTACAAAACAAACACTCGACTTACTGCATGATGCTTTCTGATCTATTTTTTTCTATTCTGTTGATTCAGTGTTTTTGGGAAAACTCCTCTATCTGGTTGCTACTCACTAAATTGATATTTTATTCCATCAAGAAATGGCAAACCATAATTTAAAAAAAACTTGGACTAGAAGCATAAACTACTGGGAAAGAGCAGTTTTCTATTCGGTCCGGACCCTTCTGTGAGAGAACTGTGAATCAGGCAAAGCTTTCTTTCAACATCTTGCCACAGTTGAGGACCTCATTTTCCTGGCTTCTAGTTCCAATTTATTTCTATAACTCCTACTCATATTTATCCTAACTGAGCTGCTGTATATACAGATGTCAAAAATATTTCTGAGTAGGTGCCCCCCCACCCTGTAAAATAAATGTCTTCTTACAACCCCTCTCCAGGTCTTGCTTGAGCTACCAGAGGTTGGTTTCTGTTTCTTGCAGCTAATATACGTACTCTACTGAAGACTGCCTCTGTGGATTCTTGTCCTTCAAGCCACTCTTTTTCTTTCTTTCTTTTTTTTTTTTTTTCCAGTACCAGGGATCAAACTTGGATTTTTGCATTTGCAAGGCAGGCAGCAGAACCACTGACCTAAATCCCTGGCCTGAAACCATTCATTTTTTACTTTTACAGTCAGGTCCTTATAGTCCCAGGCAATGATCAGGCAGCAGCGCTACCCTGCACTCAGGAAAGATGGGTAAGGCCTTCCCCAGGGGCAGCTGCTCCTCTAGCAGAGCTGCTTTTGCACTGTATCCTCAAGTATCATTTCCCACATTTTCCAAACTGTCCTTTACTGACTCAAGTTCCACATGACCCACAGTGTCAAAGTCACCCTCCAGGGTCACATTACTGTCTGCTGCATACAGCTCCTGAGGAACTGCCACTAAATGAAGCTGAAAAGAAAAGACACTTCACTGTCATCTGCCTCTACGTTACATCGCAGGTCGGCCAGAGGAGCAGCTGACCTCACTTCACCCTCATTTTCCAGTGGTCACTGTCATAATTTGGACCTTCTCTCAGGCTCTTTGTCCCACCCCAGCGGTGTACTGGGAATCCCCTCGGAGGATCCCGATCTCTTGCTCAGGGCTATGACACAAGGTGAGAAGAAAGTGGCCATGAAAGGTAAATGCTTTCAATCAGTTCAGGACTCCGAAGCATCCACAAAATTTCAACTAAAGACACAAAAGAGAACTTCCAGAACTGCCTCAAAAAATATCAAGAACTGTGTTCAAAGCGGAGGGAGCATTTTGAAGGGGATTAATGACAGTGTGCCTTTAATTATAATTATAAAATGTAAATATTCACTCATTTTTAAAATTACACCTCATATATTGTCTCACTTAGATTTCCTAGGAAGCCAATGAAGTAGTCAGTACTGCTGTTTTCTTTTAGGAAAATAAAACGGAGGCACAGAAAAGTTTAGCAACTTGTCTAAGATGGTATACCAAGTTCAGACTACGTATTTCTGTAAGTTCCAAAGGATGTTAATCAAAACACTGTCCAAGCCTACTGTAGATGCTTTCTAATTTCTATCAATAGAGATGAAAATGGAAGTCATATTTAATGTGTATAGACTATAGGTAGGCACTATGGTGGCCATTTTCTGAGTATAGTATATCACTGAACTCTGGAAACATGACTGTGAAATATGTATTGTCATTAAGATTTGATACAGTAGTTGAAGAAAATCTGTAGTTTTTATTTAAACAGTATTCCCAAAAATGTGAGGTACATACCATTAGAAGCATGTAAGATGATTTTTAAATGGGGAAGAATAAAAGCCTAAAGGGAGTTGAATTATTTGGAGAGAACTTTACCCACCCCTCTTTGAAATCTCTCAGTACTTCAATTACACTAATTTGCAACCTCTAATACCAGCTATTTCCCCCTTTAATAAAACAGAAATTTTCTAGTCTGATAAATAGCTTCCAGGTAGAATTTAATAAAAACTGCTTTATTTTCATTGTACTTATTTTTGTTCCATTTGTATGTTTTATTAGTCCAAGTGATACTGGTTTTCCATCTACACAAAGCATCTTTTTTGTTAAAAAAAATTAAAAGTGGAGGTGATTTAAATTATTCTGTTGGGATAATAGTATAAATAGCAGTGAAACATGGCAGAACTGGTGAAAGAAGGGTTTCCAAGCATTCTGTGAGAAGCTGTACAGAATTATGTTGTTTTTATTGTTAGTCAATGGGTATTCATTAGGACAGAGGTACAGAAAGATCGTGAAGTAGTTTCTGAATCATCATACATTAGATCAAATTATGTTCAATGGAGCTTACTCCATTCATTTATTCAATCAAATCTTTCATTAAACAAATACGTGGCAGCTTATAAACATTCACTTCCCGAGGAGTCGTTTCAGTATAAAACATGGTATAGGAAGAGCAAGGATTTAGTGACAAGGGAACTTGGGTTCAAAGCTTGACTGCCTGGAGTAGGAGCCCTTTGGGACCCCTTATTGAACGAATATGAATCTCAGCCTCACTTCTGTAGAATGAGGCGAGTATGTACTTCGTGACAGTGCCAGGAAACGTTGGGCAAGACGCCCAGGTCTAGCAGCCAGTAGGTGCTCATCAAACTTTCTTTCATGCCATGTTTTAATTTTTGGGAAAGTGGCAATCTATATAAGAAATGCACGGCCCTTTTTTATTGCACAGAATATTTTAGTAACCAGGACAGTCAGTTCCCAGGGACCAGATTCCGATTTCAGGTTTCCCACTGTTCCAGTGATTCACATAACAACGTACTTTCTGATTCAAGTTTTTCCTTCCATTACCCTGCGAGTCTCAGAAGGCAATAATCAGGTTGCATTTGCATTGCTATCCCTGTACTATCCAGCACAAACCGTCTCAGTTAAGGGTCTGTCAAACAAGAGACAGAGGGCGAGACCAGTGTGAGGAGACAGAACTCTGACCTTATTCCTTCTCACCGAGCTCCACCCTGCCAGAGATTCCCTGCGCTGGCCTTTTCATTCACCACACAGGACCCTGTACAGTGACAGGCACAAACGAGCTTTACGAAAAGCGACTGAGAGGTTTCTATCTTTCCTCCAGTCCTCGTCTTAACTCTGACTGTGCCTTTCTGCTGAGGTCTGTGGTCCATATATCCAGCCTGTTTTGTGTGGGATGAGGCTAGGGCAGGTCTGTGAGGTAAGGGTTTCCATCCAGACACTAACTGCACCTGTGCTTGCCGGGCCACGCTGAGAGGCCCCAGGGGTGCAAAGGGATGTGGAGCGTCAGGATTTGTTGTATGATTCCATTTTGTGGAGCCTACTGCACACTTGTAATAACAAGGTCTCCAATAATGGGACCAGTCTCCATAATGGAACTTTCTTAAGGGTAGGTCCCTTCGTAAGACGAACCATCTCTAAGTGGAGATGCCTGGCGCCCCAGAAGGATCGTATTTATTTATTCCTTTGTCAGAAATGTACCGACTGCCTTCTATGTGCTAGATTTAGGAATTTACTGTGTTTACTCTTCTCATAGTAACTCCTTCATTTTATTTTACACAATAAAACAAGAGACAAGGAAGGAGTAGGGGTGTACAAGGAAGGCTAGTTGTGTGTCTGAGTAACAAGAACTGGATAATGTGGGAGTAAACGCTATTGAATTTATCTAGCAAATCTATTTACCACGCTATGCTTTCTTCTCACGAGAAAGGGCACCACTGTAACTTCCTTTGGAATTCCCCTCAGCATACTTAGCAGAACTGTCCCCTCTTTACTGCCTGAGCCTTTTATAAATATATGTTTTCTTCTTGCTTTCCCCCTCTGCCTTCTACATACTAAATGTGAGGAGTTGTAGGCATAAAATATGCTATCTCTAAGACAGGTGACATTTTGGGGCTAATATTCACAAAAGGAAATAATTAGCAAACATAAATCGTGTATCTGAGTACCTCAGAATAACTGATGATTGTTATTTGGTATAATTTTGTCCCAGTTAATTTTGTCTCCTAACATATGCAAAGCTTTGAGCTTGATTACCCCACATAAAATAAGCGTTTTAGGAAATGCAATACTCCTTCTGAACTCCTTTTTTACAAAGGAATCAAAACGCTCTTGCAAACAGTTCGGTGAGGTGAAGTGATTTTTCTCAAGCCTGGCTGCACATTAGAATAACTGAGCAGAAGGCCTCACCCTTGGGATCACCTAGGAGGCTGTCTCAGCCTTTGACAAAATACCAAAGGATGGGTACTTATAAGGAGGCACGTGGTGCTGGTGGCTGGAGGACCCCACCATCACGGCACCGGTGTTCTGGTGAGGGCCCTTGACAGTGTCACAACACAGTAGTAGAGAAGAAGAGGGGGACCAGCCACGCGCAGCAGAGCCAAGAGCACCAGGTGACTTCAACAACCCACTCTGGAGAGACAGCTTTGCTTCCTTCATGACAGTGGCACCCCATGACCTCTTTGTCTTCTACTGATAGAGCTTTACCTCTTAAAGCTTCCAGTGCGTTAGTGCCGTGGCCACACTGGAGACCACGCCTCCAGCACATGAACTTCTGAGGATAAACCACATGCAAACCATAGCCTAGGCTTTCAAAAATATAATACTCAGAACCCACTTTGGCTTTTTTTTTTTTTAGTACTGGGAAACAAACCCAAGGCCTTTGCATTGAGTTACATCTCCTGTAACCCTCCCCGCTTTATAATTTTTAAATTTTGAGACAAGGTCTCCTTATGTTATTTATGAAGCCAGGCTCGAACTTGCAATCCTCCTGGCTCAGACTTTGAGAGGTGGGATTACGGGCATGGTGCATCAAGCACAGCTCACTCTTTTTTTAAAATTAATTTTCTTCAGTGGCGGAGCCAGCATCAGTTCTTTGTTTTTTTGTGGTTTTTCTTGTTTGTTTGTTTGTTTACACCATGGATTGAACTCAGGATCTTGTGCCTGCGAAGCAGGCAGCAGAACCACTGAACTAAATTCCCAGCTACCAGCCGCAGTTTTAAAAGAACATTTTTCCTGAAAACTTTCAATGTTCAGACAGTATTGAGAAATATAAAACATCTGCGCTTGCAAATACATTTTATCATCTTATACTCAAAGTGTTCTCCTTAGCTTCACCTGGGAAATTGTTAGAAATTCAGAATCTCATGGCTGCCCTTCCCAAACCTAGACAACAGGAGCTGCATTTTAAACAAGTTGGGGGTGATTCACATGCATATTTATGTCTGACAAGCAGAGCGGTAACCCTCCTTTGCCTTTGACTTGCTATGGGGGGGCAGTGATAGTTAACATTTCTTAAACACAAGGAGCCAGACACTTCCATTATCATCTCACTTGATTATCCCAACAATTCTTTAAAGTGGAAGTTACTATCAGTATTTGACAGAGGAAAATGAGGCTTGTTCAAGGTCAAAGAGCAGTGGCTATGGAACTGGCATTCAAATTCATCTCTGTGTTCCGTCCCAATAATTCTACAGATAGGATTATATTCCTATTGGCACGTGTATATTGCACCCCTAAGATGCTTTGTAGCTTTATGTTAAGGAAAAAAATGGTTTCGATTTTATGCACCATAGTTATTAAACTTCAATCTAGCAGTCAACTTCTGCAGTTAACAAAGGAGAAAGTTGGAAAGTTTCCACAACCATGGAATAAGACAGACAGCACAGTTTCCTGCTTCATTTGGGGCTCTTAACTAAGCAAAAGAGCAAAGAACTAAGATAACACACACACACACACACACATATACAGAATCATAGATGCAAGTCTTTTAGCCAGGTTCAAGCAGCTAACTTGGGTAATGCAGGAGTCTTTTTGAAAATTCTGGGGGCAACTTTGCATTTTATTTGCAACCAGGCATCAGTGAGAGTCAACACCTGCCACATCTCCAGGAAACACAAAACAAATCGTTTGCATCAGCTCCCAAGATAGCTTCCTCTTGAAGCTAATTTTATACTTTTCTTTCCATTTAACAACAGAAGTTTAAATCTTTTCAAACTTCTTATACAGTGTGCTCGAAGGGCAAGAAGGAGCTGGAGGATTGCTTTCCGTAGCCATTTCCGTCAGATTCCCGGCTTCAGACAGAACGCTGCTCTGTGTATGGGAACTTCCCAGGGACGTCCCTTACCTGAGAAATGCTCTCTCCATCCCAATTGTTCTCCTTTGTGTATCTCAGCAGTGAGCAGAAATAGCAGGAGAGAGGGCAAGTGGAATGGCCCAGGAAGTCTCTGCCCCAGAGTAAGCTCAGACATCACCACGATCCTGTCCCCCACATACACTAAGGATTAATATTTATTTTTATACCTTATCATATCTTTCTCTCAATGTGTCCACCTCTCTGCATCCTTCAAAGATGGATGATAAACAGGAAGGGGGCAGGGGATGTGATCTCAGTGATGTCTGAGATTATTCCTGGTTAATGATGATATATGGGTTAATATTCTCAATCCCTGTTTTTAAAAGATGGAGGTACTGGAATGCAAAAGCCACTCTGGGCACTGTCCTTTCTGCGGGGCATGGAAGAGCCAGTAACTGCATTTCCTCTCAGTGAAAGCCTTCAGCAAGGGACCATCACCTGCTTCACTCTCCCAGGTCCTTCCCTTCTCCTTCCTTACCAGATGTCTGATGAAGCTCTAGCCCCAGGCTCAACACCAACAGGAGGAGGCACATGTTTTAGACTTGATCTGAAATAGGTAATCAAAAGTCTCAGGTTGGATGCAGCTTTTCTGGGTCTCATGATTTGGTGATTGGCTCTCTTCTGAGAAGAGCATAATGACACATACCTCTCTTGGGGAGGGCAAGTAGACAGTGGGCAGGTGGAATAGGGAAGAAAAGCTTGATTGCTGGGAGGAGAGGGATGTTAGGAGGAAGCACGGGATTCTGTCTCAATCCAAATGTACTCTTCTGCCTTTTCTGTTTGTTTGTTTTTGGTACCGGGGATTGAACTTGGATCCTTGCACTTTCAAGGCAGGCCACCGAAACGCTGAGCTAAATCTCTGGCCCTCTTCTGCCTTTTCTAATGGCCTTTCCTGAAGATGAACCAATCCTCATGGCTGTCTCTTTGTGCCTCCCACACAGCTTTCCATAATTTCTTCAGCAGGCTCCTGAACACTGACCTCTTTTGTCAGACGAATAGCACACACCAACTTCTCTCGCTGGGTCAGAAGTTGAGGAGTCAGACCCTTGAGAATAGGGCTCAGTAGAATAGAGCCCTATTCTCAGCAAATACAGGACTTGGTAGTTGACTGAGCAGCAAAGCAGTCGAGCACTCTTGAGTGCTACCATCAAGCGTGCCCACCACTTGACCTACCGCTCCCAAGAGCTTCAGACATGGAAGGCAGGGAACAGGCTCTGATGGAGGGTGCCCCAACTCGGTCCTGCTCCACCCACTTTGAGCTCAGGGTTTCTCCATCCACAGAACAACACTCATGCTTGAAGGAGAGAGAAACAGGGCACACCACTGTCCTGAAAGGGGGCTTTCAAACTTTCAGTAGCCATGGGACCATTTTTCAAGAGCAATCTCTTGGAGTGGTACATCTAAGTCAGGCAACTCAGAGTTGCTCTGAGTGTGATGGAAAGCCAGTGGTGGGTTTGTATCAGGAGAACGATACAATTTCATTTGTCGGTAGCTGGAAAGAATAGAACAGAAGCAGAAAGTTCAGTTGGGAATGCCCGCATAAATCAGACTTGGATTAGGGTAGTGGGGCTCGCGAAGAAATGGTCTGCTGTGGATTTACTCTTTCATTGGTCATTTACACTTATTTAACAAAAATTCCACAGTTTTACTGAAGTAGATGACACACAAAAGAGGGTTAGCTGTATCTGTTTTTAATTCAGACTTTTAAAAAATGTACAATTCAATGATTTTCAGATAATCCCAGAATTGTGCAACCAACACCACTAATTATGGAAAATTTTCTTTACTCCCCCAAAAGAACCATATCAATTAAAAGAAACTCCCCATCTCCCTTCCTTTCTCCCACCAGCCCCTGACTACCATTAACCTGCATTTTGTCTCGATGGATTCCTTATGCTGGATAGTTCATATAAATAAAATCACAGCCTTTTGTGACGGGCTTCTTTCACTGAGCATTGTGTCAAAGTTCATCTGTATTGTAGCACATACAAATCATTCATTCCTTTTTGTGTCTGAGCAATATTCCAGGGTATAATAAACCATATTTTGTTTGACCATTCTTCATCAGTTGATGGGTTTTTCAGTTGTTTCCATTTGCTATTAGGAATTATGCTTCTACAACCACTCATATACGAGATTTTGCGTACGAATGCTTTCGGTTCTCATGGGTACACATGTAGGTGTGAAATTGCCGGCTCAAAGGGTGACTCTGAAAGTTATTGAGGAAACACCAGAGTGTTTTATCAAATATATGATGTTCAAATACTTTCTCCTATTCTGTGCATTGTTTTCAGTTTCTTGATAGCATTCTGCAAAGCATGAATGCTTTAAGATAAATTTAATCTTTAAGCACAAATTAAATTTCAAGGTAGTCTAAATTCTATTTTTTTTCTTTTATTGCTCATGCTTTAGGTGTCATATCTAAGAAACCATTGCTTAACAAATAAATGTTTTAGCTCTTATATTTAGATCTGATTCATTTTGAGTTAATTATTGCAGATGATGTAAGGCTCCAAAAATTCTTTTGCACATGGGTAAACACTTGTCCCCTTATAATTTATTTTAAAAATCCTCTCCCTATTAAATTGTCTTGATACCCTTGCAAAAAATCTCTTGATCATAGATGTGTGGGTTTATTTCTGGAATTACAATTGCCTTTCATTGAACTTTATACCCATCCTGTGTCAGTAGCACACAGTATCAGTACTGTCACTTTGTGGTAAACTCTGAAATCAGGAAGTATGAGTCCTTCAACTTAACTCTTTGAGTTGCTTTGTTTTTAGCCATTCTGTATCCGTCACATAGGACTTTTTGCATAGTCTTGTCAATTTCTGGGGAGGAAAAGGTAGCTAGAACAGCACTGAATCTGTAGATTCATTTGGGGAATATAGCTCTCTTAATAGATTTAATATTATTAATTTAGTATTGATTTTTAATTATTCCAATCCACGAAGATAGCATGCGTTTTCCTTTACTTGGCACTCCCATTATCTTAGATCTTAGATAATATTTTGAAAGAAGGCCGGAAGAAAATTGTTGGCTGCTTAGATATATAGTTTAAGAAAAAAAATAGAGAAATACAGGAGAATTCCTGGGTTTGAGGCTTAAGTCATGAGGGCACTGAAGGTGCTACTTATGAAAACTGAGAGGACCTGAGGAGAAGATTAGGGAGGAGAAACTAAGACTTGTGTTTGGTGTGTGTTTAAAATACCTGTTAGCTCTCCGGATGGAGCTGCTCAGGAGGCAGTTGAATAACAGGTTGTCCAAAGTCTGAGGTAGAGATACACACGTTGGAGTCATCAGTGTGTACTATTTAAAGTCATGGGGCTGCGTGACATCACCTAGAAAGAGGGAAGAGAAAGTGTGCAAGAACTGAGACATGGGGCATTCAGACACTTACGAACTTTGTGAGGTAAGGGAATCAACAAAAAAGATCGAGAAGGGTAAAATGGCAAATGTTTGTGTAATATTAACTGTATCTTTTATTCTCCGCCTTCTGATGCTTTGATATCCTGGAGCCTTGCCGACTGCAAAGGGGCCGGGCTTCCTAAGGCCAGCTACATCCGAGAGAGTAAAGAATACGGCCAGGACACCGCTCTCAAATGCTAACCAATCAGCTCACAGCCCTGCCCTCCACCTCCTTCTTCAGTGGAGCCAGCTAAGGCTACGTTCCCAGCCTGTCAGTCACTTTCCCAGAAGTACCTGATTTAAAGGAGGAGGCGTTTATTTTGGTTCACATTTTTGGTCCATGAATGGCTGGCTCCAGAGGCAGAAACAAAACAAACAAACAAAAAGTGCTCAACCAATGGCAGCCAGGAAGAACAGAGCGAAGGGAAGACCCTTCCGGGTCAGGCCATCTCCAGCCAGGCCCCGCCTCCTAGCAGCACATTCAGCTGCTGAGCTCATTAAAGGATGAATCCACTGATGAATTAGCGACCCATGACCCTTTTTCACACTTGAGAATTTGGGGGTACATTTTGCTCCTAACCATAACACCCAGTCACTACCTGCCTGCCTTCATCCCCTCAGAGACAGGTACTAGAAACTAGAAATAAATTTTCTGCCCCAGAACCTGCAGCAAATTGTCATATTAGACAATCCTAAATCTATGTCCCATGACTTACCCATCCCTTCCTGTGGAAACCACAACAAAAGCGACTGCCCACAAGGGCGGGCAGGGACAAGGGGAAAAAATGAGAACCAAGACCTGTCATGTAAAGGTACAAGATCCCAATGATGAATGTAACTGTACTGTATACCTAAAATGTACCAATAAACTCAATGAGAAAAAAAAAAAGTGACTACCCACGTGCTCCCGCCCTTTTCTGGCTGACCCTGTGGTAGGAAGTCCTTTTTTCTTGGGATCTGTTATTGTAACTGAACTATCTTTCCAAGATGAAATCAGCTGAGGCCTGGACACACTGGACACAGACTGCTTAAATAACAAAGCGCGCAAGTTGTTTTTCAGGAAATGCTTTCAGGATCTATTCAGGGATGGTTTGCAACCAGCTTTTTAAGAACGTACATGCTCAGAAGCAGCCAGCTCATTTGGTCAGTGACCTTTCATGTCTAAAGCTCAAAATTCCCTGCTCAGACCATGATAACTTTCTCCAAACAGAACCACAGGCCTGCAGAGGTGCAACTCTCTACACCTGTGCAAAAGACCCCCCAAACTCCCTTTCTTGTCATCCATTCAGCAAGCATCTTCTCCCGTCTCACGCCCTCCCTATAAATTCCCCTGCTACCAACCCCTTAGCAAGACGAGATCTGAGTTTTTTTTCTTCTGACCTCTCTGCCAGTTGACCTCACAATAAACCTCGTTTTGTGAAAACAGTGCCATGTATTGGCTTTTGTGCCCATCAGGCAGTGAGTCCTTATTTGATATCAATGACAGTCATCTCCTGATCTGTTGGCTTCACCACACTTAAATAATAATAAAGCCTTGGGCCGGGGATTTAGCTCAGTAGTGCTGCTGCCGGCCTTGCAAGGGCAAGGTCCGGAGTTTGATCCCTGGTACCAATAAGAAAGAAAACAAGCAAGCCTATATATTAAAACACGGTGCTATAAGGATGGAGTAATCAGTAGAGGCAAATGATCTAGAGAGTTGTATTTAGCAGGATGAAGTTCATCAAAAACCCTGAGAAGCCAGGGATTTAGCTCAGTGGTGCTGAGTTTGATCCCTGGTACTATGAAAACAAAACAAAACGAACGAACAAAACCCTGACAAGTGCAGACGAAAGCCTGAGTAGGTTCAAGGGAGACTAGACAGTAAAGATGTGTAGACAGTAGCACATAGGTAACCCTTTAGAGAAGAATGCTAGAAAAGTGAGAAGAGAAAGAGCAGTAGCTGGAGAGAAATGTGAGGCCTACACCAGGCTGTAGTCATTTTTTTTTTTTTTTTAATTTAGGAATGGGGTTACTATGGGACATGGCTGAGAGCTTTCCACCAGGAAATGCTTATACACACCTTAACCAAACCTCACAGTACTCTTCCTTATCAAATTGCAAATTAACCTGAAAGGTATCATTTTAATGTATACTAGCTGGCCTGACACTTCCCAGCATTTTCAGATTTCTAGAACACGAAAAGATGACATGTCATCTAATTCTAGGAACAGAAAAGACTCCTGGATTACCCCCCACTGGCTTTAACTTCCCCTTTGTCCTTGCCCATCCAAGGGGACTTTCCTTGCACACTGGCTCTTTGGGCAAACTGAGAGATGGACTCGGTTATAAAGGTACTTCCCAAACAGCAGGCTGTGCTACTAATCTTCCTTCTAGGGGAGATGAGCTCTGTGTAACGGTAAAGAGCTCAGGCTGTAAAATCAGACATGCCTGGGTTCAAACCCTGGGTTCACAAATTACTGGATTCTAACACATTGAACAATTTATGAAAACTTTGTGCTTTGTTTCCCTATAATGCCAATAATCATACTATGTACCCCAAGTTAGAATTTGGGGGTTATACTAGACCTCCCATCTTGCAAATCTAGTCTACTTTCTAGTCCTATTAATTCCAACTCCTGGGTCCTTCTTAGAGGATCCCTTTCCTTTCTGCCACCCTTAATTCAGCTTCTCCTCGTTTCTCTTTATCCCATAGCACAGCCTCTTCACTGATGATTTTTCCTTATAGGCTTGCTCTGCTCTGGCTTCCACTTGTTGAGATGAAGGACATAAACCTTGGAGTCATCTTGAATTCCTTTTATCTCTCGCTCTGCATGTGATCGTTAACACATCCTCCAAACGTATTCAGAACGTGACCTCTCCTCACCACCTCCACAATTCCCATCCCCACCAGAGCCACTAGCACCTCTCTGTAGTGGTTTCTGTAATGATCTGATAACTGCACTCCTGTTCTCCTCTCATCTTCCTACCTTGATTCTCAACGCCACAGCCAGAGTGATTCTTCACAGGCATGAGTCGAATGTGAGCTTTTGATGCATTGAAATTTCACTCACAAAAACATTCCACAGTCCTTTCAACAGCCTAGGGAAGGGAAGCCTCTATCCTGGGCCCCGTGTTTTAGAGGACCCCGCTGTGCTCACGCCCATCCCTGAAGCATGAAGTCTGTAGGGCGAAGAGGCATCCTCTGGAGCCTTTGACTTCCCAACCCCATCCACAATCTGTCTCCATGGATGCGGGGGTCCCTGTCTGAATGACTCCATTCCTGCTCCTAGGCCTGTGTGTCTTCCTCCCAGACGCAGTCCCCAACAGCAGACCTCACCGCCACTGTGCATGCTCCCATAGCTGCACACTTTCATTGCTCTCCTTTAAAAGACTGCCCTATGTCAGACGGCTACAGCACCCAGACCCTCGCCGCCAGTCTTACCTCTCCAATCCACCTTTCATTTCCTGAAAGCAGTCATTGCCATCTAACACATCACATAATTCACTTCTATATTATATGTTCCACAGAAATATAAATCACTGAGATAATAGGGACCTTTTTCCTCATTGCTACGTCTTCAGCCCCTAGAACAGTAAGAATGCACTCAATATTTTTTTAACGGAATGCCCCCTTACAAAGTACGCAGAACATCCAGAATTATCAAATCTGACTCTATGAATCCTATTTAAAAGACTTTACTAACTCCTGTTATTTGCAAAGTCAACTTCTCTTTAGTGTGAGGCCTGCTCCATCCTTCCCCAATCTGGCCCCTCCTGCCTCAGCCACATGGAAATTCGCATACTTTCCATGAACAGGACCTCACAGCTACTTTGAGAATACCAATCCCAGTTTGGTTTGGTTTAACCTTATTTTTCCTTTGCCTGTTTTGTCACGAGCTTCACAAAGTATCATCGCAGCATACATATCTTACTAAGAGGACGTATATTCTTCTACACTTGCAGCGAGCTTTCTTCCCCATCTTCGGTTGTTCCCTCTGCTTCCACAGTATCGGCCTCGCCTCTAATGTTAGATGTTGCCCCTCTGTCTTCTCTGATGGATCAAGAACTCTTTGGACCTCACGAGGTCCCCATAATTTTGCTGGATGGACAAAGAATCGACTGCTTGCAAATAGGATAATTTTTGCATCACACTCAGGAATCTGACACCACCAGCTTCCAGCTGGCTCCTTGATTTTTTTTTTTTTTTAGAAACAGGAATCTCTAAAGAACTGTCCATCAGTTAAGAGCTACTTGTAATAGAATGGACTGCTAATGGAGTGGGATGGTCATCATCCCTGGACTTGCTAAGGAAAGGGACCATGTTGAAGCAAGGGTCTCCACAAAAGGAGAAGGTAAAGTCCTCTTCAGTGATAAGATTATTTACAAGGCCACAGTGGGTGCCAGCAGTTTCACTTCTTGGTTGCTTTAGGCCTAGCTTCTTGGCATTTGCACTGTCTGCTGACACCAATTTCAAATGGATAAAATTTATGGTGCTCCGGTAATATAAAAGGCTTTTATTCACTCTTTTTATCAAAGCATTTACTTGGCATTTACTATGTGCTAAGCTCTATTGTAGAGAAATAAACATAGCCAATGCTTTTAAGAAATTCTGTTAGAGTGATTGAGACATAGGCACTCTAAAAATAACTCAAGAATCGTAGCAAATCACTTATTTGTGTAATGACAACAAGCCTGATGGATCAGTGTCAGATGATCTCAACCAAAAGGCCAACAAGAGCCAGGATGCGCTAAACACTGCCAGTCTTAGGTTATTTCCCTCCTCCCTGTACCCGAGGGTCTAGCACAGCTGGATGTTCACAAAGACCTAGAAAAAACAGGTATCAAACTGAAATGAAACACCTGAATTTTAGTCACTTCTTTTTTGAAGTCAAATGTCTAAGACAAATTGGAATTAACAACTTTTTAAAATAATTTGAATTTAAATTCCTTTGGG